GATGATGATGATGATGATGATGATGATGATGATGATGATGATGATGATGATGAACTTAAAAATCTTATTTGATAGTATTGTTTTATATTGTTAAAGATATTGAAATACTCCAGTCTCCACCAATTAAAAAAAAATGTGCTTAAAACAACGATCAAGATGAAGATGAAGGTGCAATATACGACAGGAAATCAATATTACATTCTGGTTGTTAATTACCAAGTCTCCATAGGTTTACTTATCAATGATGATGATGATGATGATGATGATGATGATGATGATGATGATGATGATGATGATGATGATGATGATGATGACGACGGCAATGACGAAAACGACGACTTTACCTTGCTCAGCTGAGACTGCCGCAAAGAAGGCTACAACAAAAGCCAGCTGCAACATGGTTGGTGATGGAGTCTCCTGTAATTTATGTGCGTCTTCGTCTGAACAAGGTCTGTTCACAACTGTCCTGACAAAGACACAAGTCAGTAGATCAAGGGAAACCAGAGAGTTTGGGAAACGTCGCTTCGTTTCTGAGCAACACAGCGCGATAGAATGACATGACTTCATTGTCGGGAGATCGTGATTTATGGGGAATAACTCTTGATATCTTGGCAAAGTTAATCCTGCCAAGGCGTTACGATTTGAATAGAATACATGTGTACAATTAGCTCTGGTGATCTAGTGCCTTTTTATGTGTGTGTGTGTGTGTGTGTGTGTGTGTGTGTGTGTGTGTGTGTGTGTGTTAATGTCAGATTGATTCCTAATTTACTGATGCTGTTAGTATTTATATAAGTAAGTAGAATCAGTTAGATTAAATAACCCGTCTACCTTTACATAAAAGTAATTCATAGTTTTGTATTTTGGTACTTTTGTAAGTATCATATTTTTATTATGTTTATTTGGATATAACATTCATTTTCTGAAATGTGAGTTTGTATTGTTTTAGAGATCGGTCCTGTGATTTCCATACAGCAAGTTGGTTTGCCATGACGAGGAATCTTGAATTTGGAGCAATCACATCGATACAACATTGACGAAAAGAGCACTATTACTATTATTATTTTCTCTGTTATCATTATTACAAAACAACGTAGGCTCACTTGTAAGAATAGTTTTTCACTTAGCAGTTTCATCAATTTGTTTGTTGTTGTTGTTGCTGCTGTTGTTTGTTGTTGTTGTTTGTTGCGCTTTTCTGTTTTATTTGTTTGCTCGTTTGTTTCTGTGGGCTTTTTTTGTTGTTGCTGTTGTTGATCAATCAGGACGTTGGGTTCATAATTATGTTTTTCTTACGCGCAAGAAGACAATGAGTTCTATACATACTTGTTCCGTGCGACATGCTCGGAGAGGTTAAAAGTGACCTTGTCAATTTCCGCTTGACAAATTTAAATGTACGCTTTTCAGCACAGTGACTTTTCAAATAAATGTCATTTATATGTTCGCCTGTTAGGCTCCTCGCATTCAAGGAATGTTTTTTCCACTGCAAAGTATGACATCACTTTCCGAAGAAGAGAACCGCAAGGACGAACTTTACTTCATTTGCATATTCGCAGCCGTACGGCCGGTATAAATTTTCTTAGCGTGCACTGTGCCTTGGTTGTAAAACACATAATATTACTTTTCTGTTCCATTCATCATCATCATCATCATCATCATCATCATCATCATCATCATCATCATCATCCAGTGCCAGTGCTCCATTCATTCCTTTGCTCGGATGCTCTTAAAAAAAGCTACGTTTCCCTGATCTTTCCCCGTTACCCGTTTGTTTAGGTTCCCTGAGTAGGTTCATTGCCCATGGAATATTCAGGAACAGCAAAACGACGAGACGGACAGAACAAGTAAATGGAGGGACAGGAGCACTGAGTGACCTTCCTGCGAGCGACAGGTGTCTTGGGTCGGCTACAGGTACGTATCATAATATAAGTAGAAACCGAAGGCCATAACTTCTCTTTATTCTGTTTATTATGTGGCTTGTCCTTCGGGCATCCAAGGAAAGGTCGTTTGGCAAGAGTTTTACGACGCTTACGATTGTTTAGGTAGGTAAAGATATAAAACTGATTATTAGAATAAACAAAAACACACCAGTACGTGTTTGTGACAGACACACGTCTTCATTTAGTGAGTTTGCCAAACGCATTCATCGAATGTTCGTATTAGTCCAACAACAGGAATTATAGATTTACTGATGGTAATGTTATACTGATCCATAACTTTGCTGCCTTTTCTTTCCTCATCCTTACTATCGTCGTTTTTTCCCTCAAGATCTACTTCTTTTGCATCTTTGTCACACTCTTGGGAACTGCTATTTTCCGGGGGGCCTGGATAGTCGAAGTAGACTTTGTGCTGTTGATGCTAGAGAGGTGAGCAGAGTAAGCCTGATTCCCCGTTTAGACTTCTCTGTTGACACCCACCCCTCGGCGCTCATATGACCTTATCCAGTTGCAAGCGCCGTGAAACCTTATTAAAACTAAAATGGAGAAGGCGAGCTTCTTCAACTCGATGAAATAGCCAAATCTTCCCCACCTGAGAATTGGGCCCAAGTCTATAATTGTTGGCTTGACGAAAATACCAACTGATACACAACAGAGGCTGGTTAGCTAGAAAGTTTTTTTGTTTCTTTTTAAAAGAATGGTCAAGGGGCTGGGACGGTACACCATTGTTCCTTGTAAACGTACAACGTGACAACATGAATAGAAGTGGGGAATAATAAACTATAGGGACAATGGAAAAGAAATTCTCTAAAAATGGCAACCGGAAAAATGACAAGGAGGCCTTAGAACAAGAGACGGAAGTAAAAACGAGACATGAACGTTTAGAAAGTGACACCTATCTATCTCCTTCATATGCTGAAGGACAGATTGTTCACAACAGCTTTACCTTTTTCTGAGGTAGGCTGACGCATTATGGAAAGTGATAGAAATGTAGAATTACACACGTGTACAAAGAGAGTGAGTGAGAGAGAGAGAGAGAGAGAGAGAGAGAGAGAGAAAGAAAG